CCCCCGCCCCTGAAAATTTCTGAGGGCGTGACGCTAAACAAGTAAATTTTTTTTTTGGCTTTAATTTCAAACCTTACAACAAAATTTGGCTTGGTCAGATTTATCAGTATAGATTTAGCGAAAGTGCTCTTAATATCCATGCTTCCTTGTGGTCATATAGTATCCTACACCATCCTACAAGATTTTCCTCGTAACAATTGCTTCAGTGTGTTTAACAAAAACAGTATAGATCATCATAAGCGGACATACACCATCAGATTTGGTTATGATCAACATATGGGACACCGTTTGAAATGGGAACAGGCTGGTTGCGACCCAGACATTTGTCCCCTGGTAATTTTTCGCCATGGACTTTTATCCCCTTGGGACAATTTACCACCAGACTTTTGCCCCTCCCCTTTACATCTTCTCATACATAATTTCAATTATTGATTAATTAGTAGTTATTCCTATGATATTCATTAGTGCCATGAGATAGCAAGACTGAAGGCTGAAATAGTAATAGTTTAGGATATTGCTAAACCCAGCAAACCTCCAAAAAAATGCTGTAAGAGCTCAATCAAAACACTTGATTGTGACTGTATCATGTATTGTAGGACTTGCTTGGTATCGCAATAAAAACTTGAATAAGTTTATGTTTATAAGAAAATATTTTTTGGGTAAAATCTTGATTTTTTTTTTGTGAAAAATACCTTAAAATACACAACAAACCTCCAAGAACACACTGCAAACCCCATCCAAACCTTGTGATAATGATTAAATCATGTAGGCTAGGACTCACTTGTTAACTCAATGGAAAAATTTAATATTAAATTCTATGTTATAACAACCTATAGTATTTTTGGAGTAAAAGGCTAATTTTTGTTTAAAAAAATTGTTGAACCCTGCAAGCCTTCAAAAACACACCGCAAACCCCTTGATATTGATTGGATCGTGTTGTATAGGACTCGCTTGGTATCTCAATAAAAAACATTTTATAATTTAATGTTCATAACAACATATTTTTGGGGTAAACCTCACAAAGATTATACCCGAAAAATATTTTCTTTTTTTTTTTAGATACCCAATCAATGTGGTGGCACTGTTCTTCCATGGGGTCCTGATAACAAACACTTAAGTTCCATACAAAACAGCATCAGCAAGCCATGATGGTTATATTTTAAATTTTGAAATAGATAGTTACCACGGTGGCATGAGCATTCCCCAATAAGTTGGTCTATCAACACTGAGACAGATAATAATAATAATAAGATTTATAAAGCGCACAAGTCCACTGCAGTAGGGCTCAAGGCACTACAGGAAGGAACAAAAAATTACCATGAACCTAAAGCTACAAGAAAAGAAACACCACACCATCACCACACCGTTTACAGGCAATTTAAGGCACAGGGGCCCGTCTATACATTACTCACAGGTGCTCAAGTAATGGGAGTATCTAACTAAAACAATTAAGCAAGCAAGCAAAACAAACCGGAGAACTAGGAAAAAGCAGCCGACAGCAGAGATGCGTCTTGAGAGCTTTTTTGAACAAAGCAGTAGACTGACACGAGCGAATATTTATTGGCAGTTAGTTTATTGGCCTCGGCCCCACCATGGTTGGGGCTGAGGTTGAAAAAAATTGGGTTATATCACTTCTGGATGACTGAAAATGGCTGCTTGAAAGAAATTCCCAACAGGTTTTCTCATGACTTCCGATAGCTGGGTCAAGTGCCCCCAATGACGGTACCTCCTGTTATGTGTACAGTCAGTGTTCAATCAGTCTTTGTCTCCTGATAGCCGGGTCAAGTGTCGCAATGGTGGTACCCCCTGTTATGTCTACAGTCAGTGTTCAATCAGTCTTTGTGCCCCAACAGCTGGGTCAAGTTCCCCCAATGACTGTACCTCCTGTTATGTTTACAGTCAATATTCAATCAGACGATATATACCCTTGATTTGTATGAATTACTGTAGGTATGTCTGAATGAGCATGTGTTTCACGGATAAACAGATCTTTGATTATTCTCATATTTTGTATAAATTTTGATGCTTTTTAAAAGAATGTAATAGTTTATATTTTTTTTCCTTCAAATTATTGATGTTTGTTGTTGTAAATCACCCACCAACTTTCCCACTCCAAACAGGATGGATGCATCATACATGTGATGAACTTGGAGACAAATCTTTCAGAGAAAGCCAAGCCATCGAACTTCTCCAGAAGTCCCTTGAATCCGACCCAAACAGTGGCCAGTCCTGGTATCTGCTAGGGCGGTGTTTCTCTAGTGTTGGTAAAGTCCATGATGCTTTTGTATCCTACCGGCATTCCATCGACAAATCCGAAGCCAACGCAGACACCTGGTGCTCCATTGGGTAAGTGCTCCATTGTCTGTCCTTTCCTAATCTTCCGTTGTTACCTCTTGTTTATCCACATTTCGAGGATTCTACATGTACACCTTTAGCAGTAGTGTCTGGCTTTGTGTAATAATAATACACAAAGAAAACAAAGAAAGAAAAAAATGAAACACTATGTGTATATAATACATGTAATTTAATACAGCTGGGCAAGTGGTAGTAAGAATTAAGTTGTTGACTGCATTTGGCTATGAGCCAGTATTGTTCTCATGGGTTTAGCTTATCTTTTTTTGGAAGCACTATTAGTTTGATTAACCAAATATTTACAGATTTTGCCAAAATCGGGAAAAGCCCATAAAAATTAAATTCTGCCACCTAAAAAAATATGAAATTCTTTGGTACTGTACTTTCAAAGAATCACAGAGTAAACCAACTTTAAAAAATCAATCAAAAGTACAACTACTTTTCAATGATTTATGGACGTTTTACAGTAAATACAAAAAAATTGTTGAAATTTTAGGGTATTTAATTGAGATGTTTTTCTATTTTTTGTGTTGGTATATCTTTCAAAGGTCAAAGGTTAACAACTTCTAATGAAACACAGATTGAAACCATTTTGTTTTTGCTAATTTACAGACTTTATTTCAAAAACCCATAAATTTGGATGTCTATGCAAAGACTATGGAAACATGTTATTTAAATGCATTTGTTTGATTGGTGGGGATATTGTATTATCTTCTAATTTCCAATTTAAAGGCAATAACTTAAAGCACCATTCCTAGCAAAATTTCAGTTGTTAAGAAAAATCTGATTTTTATATATGTTATAAAGATAAATATACGAAATTGCTAGTTTAACTAAATTTAGACATTCCTAAATATGGAAAAAATGTAAAATAGGACTGAAATTAGATTTTTTGTGTTCCACACCAAAAAATAAATGCGGATGAATTTTTAAAAGTTTGATTGTGTGATAGGTCTGCGAAGAAATGTAGTAGGTACCAGAAATATTAGCCTATCCAACACTCTAGGTTAGCCTTACCTCAATTACGTTCTGTTCTGAGAAAATGGTAATCTCCTATGAGAAATATTCTCTTACTCATTTTTTTATCCTTTTGCGTGAAACTAAAATTTATGCCAATATTTTTCCATTCCAATAGATTTTTATCTATTTTTTCTAAAAAAAATTATTTTTTAGTGAAATTTTGCTGGGAATGGGGCTTTAACTATGATGAAAGCAATTCCAATGAATTTTATTTAAGATTCAATCTGAAGTTTTCCCCCAAGCTCGTTGGTGGAATTGATCCGGTCACAAATACTAGCTTTTGTGTGGTAAATATAATGAATAGTCACCCTCTAATTAATACCACCTCCAATTTTATACCTAATGATCAGCTATCCTTAATAATGACTATTCTTCAAATTAGAGACATTTATTATTTGTCAGTGTGTAGTAGACTTAAAAATTAATGTTGAATGTGTAGAATCCTGTATTCCTTGTAACAATCAATAAATAATAGATGAAAACTCAAACTGAGTTGAATGTGTATCATCATGTATTTCCTGTAACAATCAATAAATAATAGATGAAAACTCAAACTGGGTGCAATCAACTTAATGATAGCAAATATTAAAGTTGAAAGGAGCAGGAGTTCAACAGTTTGTTTTTTTTTCTTTTGAGTGGGATTTGCTGCTAGTGATATTTGGCAATGACTTTGTAGGCTTCAAATGAGTGGGTGGCTTCTTATCATTAGCTAGACATATTCTGAGCTATTTATAGTGTTTGAGCTCACTGCACAGTGGGAAGCCCAATGAGCAGTGTGTAGGCTAGGCTATTAAGAACCAGTACATCCTTGTTCTGTTATTCATGCTCTTGGCTGGCGTTCAAGAGAAACCTCTTTGTTCATGGAAATTCCCATTCTCAAGTCTTAACTGATCACAATGTCAATGTAAGTATTGTACCTATTTCACTAGTTAATATAGGATAGCGTATAGTTATTGTTCTATACAACTAATGTATTTTAGTTTGTTGTAGTATTGTGTATACAGATGACAATTGTTTTTTGTTATCACAATCAGAATACATACTCAATGTTATAATAAGTTATTAAATAATGCGTTCTACCTACATGTTCATTTTTGCCTAAGATGGTATGGAGGAGAAAGATGGTGGTGATGATGATGATGTTCATGATTCAAATAATGTCTTACGATTATGATGATAATGATGTCTATTATTCTTATAATAATTGTGTCTGTTGTCATGGCGATTGTGGTACGCTGATGACGTTACAATTGTGACTGGTGACATTGGTAATTCATATGTCAATCATGATTAATATGTCAATCATGATGATGATGATGGTGGTGATGATCGACATCATCTTTACCTATTATCATCATTCATATCATGTCATTATATTTTGTCAGTTGTGCTGATGATGTCTGTTGTGGGTATTATAGTAATGCTGATTGTGATAATGAGATACTAGTTGTGATAATGTTGATGAACAATGTATGTCGACTGTGATGATGGTGATTGACATATTATTATTATTGTGATAATGTGGTAGTTAAATGATGGTGATAATGATATTTTAGACAGTAATTATAATAGGATGTTGATTGTAAGTTTCTAGAGTAGTTATGATGATGATAATGATTACTATGTAAGTTGTGATTATAGTAATGATAATGTTGATTGTGATTAGATGATAGTTGTGATGATGATGATTATAATGTCACTTGTGGTTACGATAATGATGGTATTGATGATGATAATGATTACTATGTCAGTTGTGCTTTTGATAATGATGTGATAAGATACTAGTTATGATGGTGATGATGATGATGTTTACTGAGGTTATTTATGATTATATTATTTTAGGATTTTGAGGAAGGTCCCTTGTGATTAAATGAGAATGATAATGTCAATTATTATGATGTTGATATAACAGATGGTGACTACAGATGGCTATGAAGATGATTCAACCACTACAATTACTATATCCCTTAAGTTGAATTATCAGGTGTCATCTGAACCTAATTTCTGATTGTTGTGGCTTTTCAAACCCAAAAATCCTGAATAATGAATAAAGTTCAGATTGAAGTGTGTAATACTATAGGTATTTTTAGTATATTAACTGATCTTATTTGGTTAGAAATTGCTGAAATCGTAAGCATAGCAGCAGGAAATTACCTCTTAACGCCGGTATGTTACTTCCTTGTCGTAAACAGTTCTTTGTGATGTATAGTGTCTTGGCCGTGTTCCATCTTTCTGTCAAATGTTTCATGTACAGCAGACAGGAACAAAGGCGTAGGCCTAATCATCATTACTCTCCTGTGTTTTAAAGTTATTTAGGCGGAAACATTACAGAGATCCTATTTTCGTCATGATGTACTGTAGTCATTAAATAGATCTTACAAAGTGGTTTTGTGTACTACATCCTCTTATGGTGATGTAACCTTTCTTAGAAGTATGACATTTACAGAGTAAACATTTTTTTTGTAATTTACTACTTCATTCATTAACATTATTTCAATTTTTATCAATAATAAAAGAATCAATATAATAAGCAGCTAAAAAAGGATACTCAAAAAACTAAAAATTTTACATCCATTATTTACTGTAACAAAATTTATACAAATATTGAATTATGAAACTTTAAATTTTAATTATTTTATGGTAATATGTAAATTAGTTTTGCAAATTTGATGGCAGTGAAAGGATACTTAAGGGAGAATCTAACATTCATATTTATAATTCAAATATACAAGAAAATTACTATTTATTACTATTACTATGCATTTTTTGTACCAACTTTACATAATTGCTGTTCATCCTTTTAAACATGAAATTGTCTTGTTTATGCCCAAGGATCAGAAAATAAAAATAGTATATGGCATGCAGAATACTAAACAAGGCTAAATATGTGTAGCCTAATAATGATAATTTATTCGGAAACTACACTTTTGAAACAGTGGTACACTTCACATGATAAAGGTGCGTCCAAAAATAAAACTTCAAACAGAATACAGTGCACTAAAAGAAAACAAAGTACAAATTGAGTAAATGTAACTCAAGCATTTGACAAGTCCCCCCCCCCATCCAACACCCACCCTCATCAAAGTACTGTATTATATGAAATGATGCTTCAGTAAAGCGAAATGACGGACAAAATGGCCATGTCAATCCCCTGAGTGACCCTTATATCACACAGTGTCCATTGTAGAGCTTATCTTTCTCCTCTCAAAGGTGGTCTAGGAAGCCATGGGTAGCCAAAGACTAGCCGTTGCTTGCATTCTGCTACTGAATTACAATGCAATTTTAACTGTATGTCACGTTTAATTCAATAAGGGTAAATCTTTCTAGAAGGTTAGGTGATGTTCTGGGGTCATTGTAAAGATATAAAAATATAATCAACAGATGGATATGATGTACAGTACAAATTTGGTTGGCTGAAGTGAACTCTTTTCTGAATAAAAATTATTTACTATTTAAACATAAATTCTTTTATTTTAAAAAAGGTATTTCACATTGTTCAGATCATAGATCATCTGTTTACTGTTTGTTTTTCCCCCTTTTTGTATAGGGTACTTTATCAGCAGCAGAATCAGCCTATGGACGCATTGCAAGCGTACATTTGTGCAGTGCAATTAGACAAGTCTCACACCGCAGCCTGGACAGATCTAGGCATACTTTATGAAGCCTGCTCTCAGCCCAGGTACAGTAACTCCACCCATAAACCTTATAATATGTTTGTTCAAAGGCTTTCATAATGTTTGTTCACAGGTCAGAGAAGAATGAGTGCAAATATGTAAGCACCTTTTGTGTAGCTAACAAAGTGAAACTGGTTGTTATTGAATATTGAATAGCTCCTTTATGTTGGAAGTGAAAAATATGTATGATTTTTTTTTCTCATTGAATATAAATAGTCTTTGTTGAGCTAGTATCATTACTGATTTAGAATGGTAATTTCTGCTGGTTTGTCTGTGGTTCAACTAAAATCAAGATAAATAATATTCAGTAATTGAGTTTCTTACTATGAATGCATTTTGTAAGTTAATTATCTTTCAATGGAATTAGAATTGTTATGTTCTGCTGGTTTAAAACACAACACTGTATTCAGCATTGAAACACTGGTTCATGTTGGATCACAGAGCGATGTATAGTAATATCTTCATGCTTTAATTTTAGGTACTTTTCATGCAATAGTTAAATACTCATGTAAAACGATGAGTAGAAAATGTGTTCGTGTGATATAGCAGTAGTTTAAAAAAAAATTTTACATAACAATTACTGTAATTGATGAAGTTATTAAAATTGTCTTTTTGTTACAGGGACGCTTTAGTTTGTTATTCAAACGCCACCAAAACAAGCAAAGCTGGAGTAGGGTCAGCTTTATCTGCTAGGGTCAAGTTATTACAGGCTCAAATGGCTACTCTACCAGCTCAACACATGCAAGCTAAGTGAGTGCTTATTATATTTATATCTCAACATTATATATTTACAAGTTTGTTTATATAAATATCATTAATACTCATCATCATCACTTTTATGATGTTTATCTCTCATTGTCATCACCAGCATCACTCCCGATCATACCCATTATTATCATCATTATGATCATCATTTTTGTCATCACTATCATCATCAGCTCACTGTCATCGCCATCCATCTCTATAATTTTCACCCACCACCATATTCATGTATTGGTTGTAGTTAGCGTAATCTTATTATCTCTACATGATATTTAATAATAAATGTTTAATGTTTTTAATGTTTATGTGCAACTTAAAATCTATTTTATTTAATTTTGGTTTTTTTTTTTTTAAACAGAAATAAAACTCTGCCCACCATTGAAGAAGCTTGGAACCTTCCCATCCCAGCTGAACTCACCTCGCGCCAAGGAGTTATGAATTCAATTCAGCAGGTAAAATAATTTTAATTATTTATATATTGTATTGGTATTATAGTTATCCAATAAAATAAAATTTACTTTTATTTGCTAATAATCCATGAACGATTATTCACAATAATAGTGAAACATGTATAGAAAGCAAAGATAAGTTTAATTGTAAACCATAATCTGTAATTGTTTCATAAGCTCAATAATCGTTTAATAAGAGTTGTTGTAATGGTGGAGGGGTCCAGGGATATATTCATAAGGGGGAATGAGGTGACAAAGCAAGATGTGCAATAGGAGATTATTTGTGTTATTTTTATTTATTTAAAAACGTATTGAAGGTGATCATTTGGGACCCTAACATACATCAAAAATACAACTTGATAACAATAAAATATAAATAGCATAAAAAAAATATGAAATGTAAAAAAAAAAATGATTCACTTGATTGCAAAATGGATAAAATGTTAAGTATATATTCTTTAAATCTAATTTTAAAAAGGCTAAAATAGTCAACAGAACGAATAACATTAGGAACATTATTTAAATATAACTGAGCTCTTTAACTAAAACGATTTTTTAAATAGTTTATAAATAATAATAATAATAATAATAATAATATATATTATTGCTTGCAGTAGAATATAGTTATAAGCAAAAAAAGGTATTTTTTATTCAATTCATTTGTGCATATTACCAACAAATAAATAGCATGTAAATATAGATTATACAACAAAATTTTGTAAAAGATATTTTTGAAATTGAAAGGATAAACAGAAAACATTTACAGTTGAGTTTCTGTTTTCTTTGACCTCAGCTAATTGATTAACAGTATAGTAGGTGTGACGTGCCATTCATTATCATTTTTAGCTCATTCAACACAATACGTAACCTTGTATTTCCATATAAGGAGGTTTGTGGTGATTGGTCTGGTAAACAAGTTTATGATATAAATGTGCAGAGTACATGCATAATGGATTCAGCCATTTGATGCATAGGTAACAAGTACATTATTGTGTTCTATAATGATTGTGCATCTGAGGCAAAGTACCACAAGTCTATGGAATCACCATGGGTCTGCTGAAGTGCCACAGATCTGTAAAAGTACCACAGGTCTATGGAATCACCATGGGTCTACTGAAATACCACAGATCTATAAAAGTACCACAGGTCTATGTACCACTGATCTGCTAAAGTACCACAGGTCTATGGAATCACCATGGGTTTGCTGAAATACCACAGATCTGTAAAAGTACCACAGGTCTATGTACCACTGATCTGCTAAAGTACCACAGGTCTATGGAATCACCATGGGTCTGTTGAAATACCACAGATCTGTAAAAGTACCACAGGTCTATGTACCACTGATCTGCTAAAGTATCACAGGTCTTCTAACAAACATACCACAGATCTGTTAAACTATAGAGTTGCTAGATTGAATTTGATCAGAAACGTAATAGTCTTTATGGTTTTTACACACACAGGGTGACTAACCACTAACCTCCCAATAACCTCTCACCAATTAACCACTATCCTTGTTGTGGTATACTTGGCAAATATACTCAATACATTGGTTAAGAGAATAAAGGTAGAATTTTGAAAGAAATTGATGAACAGATATATACGTTATGTCCAGTGGCGTATCTAGAAG